ACTATTTGGCTGCCAGTATTGCGATGCACAAACATCCCACTCCACACCTATAGCCACCTAACCTTGTGCATATCTAAATTCCCATATTTTTGCATATAAAGTTCATAAAGCGGAGAAACACAGATTCTAGCTCTCAATTTTTGTCTTAGTGCAAATTATAATCCTTTTCCTCACTGAAAGAAATAGATTGTTACAAAAACACATTTGAAAATAATTTCATACGGAGAGTTAATAACTGGGTTTACCTCACCCCATTAAGTGTTGCACACAGCATTGATAGAATGCAGGAAATAGATAAGTGAACAATATTTTTGTAACAGCTGTTGATATATAATTCCATTGATGATAATCTCAATCCTATCAACTGTTTGGCCTCTTCTAAAAAGTGGACAGTATTCTTTTTGGTGTCAACTGACACTGCACACTCAAACTACGTCTACACTGCAAGGTTTTTGTGCAAAAACAGCTGGTTTTGTGCAAAAACCCGAGGAGCAACCACACCTCAAGTATGCTTTTGCGCAAGTAAATCGACAGTAAAATGGCAGAACAGAGGGCTTTTGGTGGTGTAAGTAAACCTCCTTCTACAAGGCATAACTCCTTTTTGCGCTACAGCTGTTGTGCAAAAAGGCACGTGTGGATGCTCTGCAGAGGTTTCTTGCACAAACAGAGCTTATCTGAGAAAGCACAGGTGAATGGCCATCAGGACTTTCTTGCGCAAGAATGTCATTCAGTGTGGACACTCTCTTGCGCAGACGTGATGCACTTTGAGGTGTGGATTCGCTTTTGTACAAGAAGCTTTTGCGCAAGATCTCTTCCACAAAAGACTTCTTGTGCAAAAACCCTGCAGTGTAGACGTAGCCTCATTGTGGAGCAATAAGAGACACTCTCACCCTAGAACAATGAATGTTTTACCTCAGTAGTATTTCTAGGGCTAAATGCTCTGTTGTAAACAGGTGCAATTCCAGTGGACGGGGTGGGATGATTTTAGAAATATAAAACGTAAGCATTTCTTTGCTTTTCTGCCCCACTTCTTTATAAGAATAACAGCAATATAAAATGTAAAATATGTAACAAATTCAACTGGGTGAAGTGAATTCGAGTCTTGACATTACTGGTGAATGCAAAATGTGGTGTTTGAAACACGTTACAGATCAAAACCTAGGGATGTGTAGAAGTTGTACATTAGGGCATGCACTCAACTATGCCACATAATAGAAATACACAATTCTATTGTTATATGTGCTATTTGTTATAGAAAAAGATGGAGTTCCTTTTTTTTATGTTACTTGGTATTTGGTGAATAGTATATCGCATTTTCCTGTGCTGTGAGACCATGTACTGGAAGACTTTATCTGCAACGTACTGTTATTCCCATTGTTTGTTTGTTCATACCCGAATGCACTGATACATGCACTCTACATTATTATTACAGATATCAAAACAGTAGAGTTAAAATGTTCTGAACCGTGGTGCAGGTGACAGACTGAAAAGTAAAGGAATAAGATGCTGAGGAGCACTCACTTAAACAAAAGTCTATTCAGAGCATGAACTCACTTGCAGTGTCACTAAAGATATCTGCAACCATCTTGGTTGCCCAGTTACACACATGTAGTTTAAGATATTCATCATTGCAAACATTTGACACATTCTAGCATCCTTTACGTTTCTACAGATAGAACAGAGTGTTCTATGCACGTGCCATATGCTGTTTTAAAACACCCATTGTTTTGTTTTTTCAAAACCAAATTTTTTGTACATGGCAAAGGCACCAATTTTCATTTCAGATTAAATGCTAAAAATATTAGAAATGTTGTTTTTGAGTTATCCAAGCACAAAACAAGCATTTTTGAATTTTTTTTCTACAGTTGGAAAAACACTTAGGCCTGATCTTACAATCAGATTCATGTAGGCAAAACCATGGTTTCAATAAGGCTCTGCAAAGGTGTAGGATCTGCCAGCACAGATTTGACTTGAAGAACAAGAGCCTTATTTTCCACATTCTGATATCTCAAAAAAGTTGAATACATTTGTACAATTTCCTAGCTGGAAATGAAAGAAACATCTTCAAACCCTACAAGTACATTTTAAAATACATTTACAAATGTTTGTCCTATAATTTAGATAATTAGATAAGGAGATTGTAAAAAATCTATTTTTCATTCTGAATACACTGGGGACACAAGAGTATGATGCTAAAAAAAAAGTATCCTTTCATGTATCAGAAATGTTCGTGGCTTCTCCTTACTCTCTTCTGCTATCTCTACCAATATTCACTTAGGGCACATCTACACAGCACACTTATTTTGAAATAAGTTATTCCGGAATAGTTATTCTGAAATAGTTTATTTCGAAATAGTATGTCTACACTGCTGGGAAGCCTCAAAATTAGTCCGAGGCAGGCTTCCCTAAATGTAGACATGCTATCTCAATTTAGAGCCCCAGGAGGCACTGAGGAGGAATACCTTAGAATATGCCTGGTGAAGGGCTATTTCAAAATGGCAGCAGTGGAGCATCTACACATGCCTTATTTCAAAATAGCTATTTCAGAATAGGAATGGCTGTGTAGACGCTTGCATTGTTATTTCAAAATAATGCTAGTTATCTCGAAATAACGGTGCAGTGTCAATGCACCCTTAGGATACTACTATGGAAAAAATGCCAGCATAGGTTATGACATTCAGGATAGAATACACTTCTTTGCAACATTTAGCACTTATCATCTTTGTTCATATTTAAATACTGACCCTGCTTTCAGAACCTGACCTCCAAAATAATCTAAAGCCTGAAACATGTTTTAAAAACAGCCCAAAGCATGTGGAATGGATTGTAACAATTGTGTTAAAAACACTAATTGTATAACTACTGGTTAAAGAGTAGTTAAAAGCCTTATTTTATTTAAGAAAAAAAACTAGTTAAACATGTTAAGATTTGGCTAGCACACTATACACACGATACTAATTTAAACCTTAGAATGGAAAAGTCTATAGTAAGGAATAGCCATACAAAAGAGAGCTTTATCTAGCAAGCAAGGAAAGATGGAAGGGAAGGTTAAAATCTAATACAGGATTTACCTCTATGACAAGTGTGGGCAATAATTTTTGATGAGGGGCTACACCAAGAATTTGGTAAGTGGTCAAGTGTCACACACTTCCATGATATTAACTGAGGAGGTGAGGAATCTTGGATGGAGATTGAGTGCAGAAGGGAGCTCAGGGTAAGTGACTGGGGTACAGGAGAGGGTATGGGATCTGGGAGGGGGTTTGGGTGCAGGAGAGGATTCTGACCTGGTGTAGGTGTGTAGGAGGGGTGCAGAATTTGGGAGGTGATTGTGACCTGGAATATGGGTGCAGGGGTTTGGGTTGTGACCAGGGGCAGGGGATTGTGGTTCAGGGTCTGGGAGGGGTTTTCGACCTGGAACAGGAGAGTAGAATGGGGAGAAGAGATTTGGATTGTGACCAGGAGGCAGGGGATTGAGGTGTATGGTCTGGGAGGAGATACGGGCACGGGAGTGGGAGTACAAAGGGTTTGGATTACATGGGGCAAGTTGCAGGAGGGGGACAGAAGGAGGGAAAGACTAAAGTGACAGAGGCAGACTCTGACTGGGAGGTGCTTATCTGTGGGGCTCCCAGCCAGCAGATTCCTCAGCCAGGCTTCCTGCCTGCCCTGCCCCCACATGCGCTAAGAGCAGATGGCTGTAGGGGCCATGTGCTTCTCTGAAGGCTATAAGTCTGGGGGCGGGGGGAAGGGAGGGAAGAAGGGGCTCTCTGTGTGCTGCCTGTCCTGAAAACAGGCAACTCCCATTGGCCAGAAATCTTCCGATGGGAGCTGCAAGATTGTGCTAGGGGCAAGAGCAGAATGCAAAGCCCCACCCCCTCTCCTCCCAGGCTTGCATCATTCAGAGAAACACATGGCCCCTACAGCTGGCTTCTCTGAGCGGCATGTGGGGATGGGACAGGCAGGAAATCTGGCTGAGGCTCCCATTGCACCATGCTCTAGATTCAGCCCACAGGCTGTATTTTGCCTGCCCCTGCTCTAAGAACTGTCAGTTAATAATTCTTCTAAGTAAAATGTGGGAGTCACCCTGGCTAATGGCACTGCAAACTCTGGGACTTCTCCTGAAGCTACTGATCACCTGTAACTTCACTAACATCAGTACGAGTCTGAGGCATTCATCAACTCAGAACACGCTCTCTAGTATTTTTTTTAAATTTATTATCTGTGACAGTGACAGGTGAATCTGAGACTGGATTTCTGGATAGTCCCCTCCCCACCAAACGGAGGCCCCACTTTGAGCAAATGCTCAAATGGCATAAAAACCAGAGGGCAGGATTCTTTCATCCATAAAGTGCACTGTGTAAGTGATACAGAGTGAATTTAAACCAGCCAGAGAGCTGTCCTGTGTATAGGGAATCTCTACTGATGTAAAGCTGGCAGAGATTGTATAAACACCTCTGATACCAGCTCTTTCTGTGGCATAAGGAAAAGAAGGTGCTTGTTGGGATAGGCTGGTGAGCTGGGAGGGGGAATGGTGGAACTGAACTCCATTACACCTGATTCCCTGCTGGTGTAAGCTCCATTTACAGCGCTTACATCAATCAGCGGTAGAAGCTAGAGCAACCTATTCTCTCGTCTGCCCTGGCTAAGTGGCCAGAGATCAGAGAGCTATAGCTATCTTCCTATAGCTGTCATTGTCCTCTGCATCTGAGGTGTGCTTTGAAGGAGAGGAGAATCCAGGCCAATGAGACTGAGGCATGTGCTTAAACGCTTTGCTAAATCAAGGCCTTACATTTTAACCATTCTCTCCACAACCAGCACTCTGCATTTCTCATTTAAAAAAATATAGTTTCCAAGTTATACTCACAAGAAAAAACATTTTTCACAGAAGAAACTGAAAAGGCATAAATGGCTAATCTTTTTAATAATGTGTTCTTTAGTTGTGGATGCAAAATGGATAACTGTACAGTCAATTTCCAAGAACGACGAGAAGTCCTGTGGCACCTTACAGACTGTGCCACAGGACTTCTCGTCATTCTTGCAGATTCAGACTAATACGGCGACCACTAATACTCAATTTCCAGTTTCTCATTGCAGTTTATATGCACATTTACACAGTCTTCTGTATGTGCAATTTAGGAACAGATTTTGAGATTTAGAGCTAAATATATTTTGTGGGATTTTTTGTTTCTTTGTACTAAAAAAAATTGTAGATTTGATTCTCAACATAATAGAAAAGCTAGAGATAAGTCCTCATCTTTAATCTCAAATTCTTTTCTGGACACTAACATTTAAGAAGTTCAGTAGAGTCAGTTGATATGGTTTCTTTTAAAAAAAAGTATCAACTTGACAAAATTTAAAAAGTGCCAAACACAAAACTAGAGTTGCACAGAATTTCTGGGCTTTATGATTTACTCATTTACTTTACAGGATTTCCATATATTTTGAAGGTGGAAACAATTATATGTGCAAAATTAATACTTTGTGTTTACAATTATCCTCTTGCAAACATAACTAAGGTGCCACTTTTTACAATTTACCCCTAAAGATCAAATCTTGCAGTTTCTTTTAGGGCAAAACTTCCACTGAAGTCAATAGTTCCATGATGTAGGGCCCTATTCTTCAGAACTTAACTACCATGTGTAGTATTTACCATCATGAATGGTTCCCACATAGACGTCAGTACTCATCGTAGTAATAAGCACTCTGCCCCCTAGTCACAGCTACTAGTAAATGTTTGAAGTCTCAATAAAGACTGTAAGATTTGGCACCAATTGGTTAACATTCTCTATAGCTAGAGTTGAAGAGACAATTTGAAAAAAAAAATATTTTCGGTTTTTAGCACTCTATTATTAACCATGTAGGTAACTCCTACTGCATTCATAATGGTAATATATTCTCTTCCCTGGAACAAATACCTAAAACCACCTTTTTCTGTACACTCTGTAAATAACTGTAAACATCAAAATATACATATATATGGTCATGATACATAGCTAGAAAACAGTAATGGAGTAATAACACTTTTTATTGCATTCTCAAGTACTGTTGAATATGGGTACTGTAGGCACACATTTTAACTACTTATCACCTACTACAATCCTAACGCTCATTTACCTGAGATCTGAGTTTTGTAAAAATAAAATTTTCTTTTCAGTTGCATATGTTACAAAAGACTCAGTTTCATCCTGAACAGATGTGAAACTTTGAATCTGAGAGCAAGTGCTACACGTGATCATATAAAAAAGGTACTGCTGAACTAGATGCATATTAAAAAGAAGCCACAAACTTTAGAGGATTAAAAAAATATCCCTCCCCCCACCCTTTTCCCACATTGTAATAAAATTGTTTAAAACATTTGACACAGAAGACCTGAACAGAAAGCATGCTGTTAAAATCATGTACCCTCTAATACACCCATCTTGAATGAAATTAAGATTAGAAGGACAGACTCCATGTTACTTGTAAAAGAATGGAATGTCAATTCTCATCATCCCGTCTGTAGTGAATAGTCTGTATTTCCTGAGCTAAGAACATGGCCATCTCTTTAGTGCCTGCAGCAATCACTCGGCATGACATGAGATCTAGAGGTCCACCTTGGAACAAGAGAATAAGGAACAAGTGTTTAGATCAAGAGGTGATGTGTCGTATATTGTGTGTGTGTGTGTGTGTATATATATATATATATATATATATACACATACATATATATATACATACACACACACACACATATATACACTAAATCCTCTTATCTCCTGGAATCTTCTGTGCCATGTCTTGAAAGACTGCTGCTGTACTGCGCTGTTCTGTCTCTTCCCTGACCCTGTTGAAGTGTTCAAATTCAGAGATCTCTTGCAAAGTAAGGTGTTTTAGAAGCCATTGATTTAATCAAACATCAAAGAACACAGCAAAAGCAATAAATGTTTTCATTTCTTCAGTGCATAACAATAAATATAATGTATTCCATTTTACTCTCTTCAACAAAACACCAGATTTCTTTTTTGTTTTGTTTGTTTTTTTGGTAAAACTAGAGATAGTAAGGAATAAAATAAAAAGCAAAATAACCCATTTTCGGGGTTAAACATACCCCTGCATCTGGCAGTTGTTCTTTAATATATCAAGTCTTTCCACAGTCATGCACACTTTGATCATCACAAGGCTTGACTACTAAGGAACTCTCCACTTAGGTACTACAATCACCCACTCACTTCTGTTACAGACTCTTCAGCACCAACTGGCCCTCTCTCATCCCCACTGCCCACACAGATTGCTACGGTTCTCAGCTGACCAATGGCAGAAAATGCAGGAAGGATGAAAACTTGAGTGTTGGTGGCAGAAAATACAAGGAAACCGAGGAGCAAACTATTTCTGTGAGCCCATCCCTATTTAAAGGAGGTAAAGAGACACACAGACATCTGCTGCAGAACTTTTCTAGACTGTAAATCTCTAACTATACCCAAATGTCTCCACTCAATCCCAAAAAACAGCACCTCTCACTGCATAGAATTATGTTACAATTGTCCAGAATACCCTCAGAGGCCATCAAGGACAAGAAGCTAAGAACAGGACTAGAAACACAAAGTCTTCTCGAGAATTCTCCCTATTCACACCAGTGGTGATTACAGAATACTGACAATCAGGGCTGCCTTTCCATGACTCTTCCTCTTGCTATTCCTGGATGGTTAAGAAAAGAGATTACAGGCAGTCCCTGGGTTACATGGATCCGACTTACATCGGATCCCTATTTACAAATGGGGTGAGGCAACCCCGCACTAGCTGCTTCCCCACAGCAGACCAGGGAGACACGAAGCTAGCACGCCCCTCCCCCCCCCAGCAGACCAGGGAGACGCGGAGCGGCATTTCTCAGCAGACACCTCAGCTTGAGAATAAAGGACTGCAGGAAGTGAGGTGTGGGAGAATAAAACTGAGCTCTGGAGAAATGTTTGTATGTACCAGTTCCGATTTACATACAAATTCAACTTAAGAACAAACCTACAGTCCCTATCTTGTACATAACCCGGGGACTGCCTGTACTCAGAAGGAACCTTGGCAATAGGCTGTTAACATCTACTTTTGAGGAGACTCTACCATCCACTCCCAAATAGGGATGTTAGATAGTGCATAAGGGCATGTCTACACAGCAGGGCTAAACTCAAAATAAGCTATACAACTCCCCTGGCCACTGGGAGCTGCAGAGCTGGTGCTTGGGGTGGGGGCACTGTGCAGATCCCCCGGGCTGCCCCTACGGTTATGAGCTGTGCTGAGCCACAGCACATGTGAAGCAGGGCACACTCTCAATCCTGCTCCGCAGCAAAGTTTGGGAGCCAGAGTTAAAAGTCTGATGGGCCAGATGCAGCCCACAGGCAATAGTTTACCCACCACGCCCCAATTCCTCACCAGCAAGCCCAAGCTCAGTTCCCCTTTCATATTATTCAGCACCTATGAGTTGGGTGCACTGGTGAGACAAGAGATTGAAATACAGGCAACACACAACTCCATAGTTCCTTTATACCAAGCATAAAGAGCACTATATACCAGCTTTCTGAATACCTAACTGAAATTACTTCTGGGTGAAGATTAGATAGAAAAACCGAGTCCAGGAAAGGCTTGTGTGATGCTGGTAGGAAGACAAAACTGCTCTGTAGAGCTAGTCTTCTCTCTAACCCCTCTCCCCACCCGGACACACACACTTTCAAGAATATTCTCTCATGTTTTTATGTTGGTCCTTAGCCTTGCAGCTTTTATCGTGCTGGTAAGATAAAGCACCACCCTCCATCTCCAACAGCCAGAAAATCATGCACCATCTTATTAGTTCCAGACTTTACTGTACTGATCCTCAATATTCAGAACTAAATGCAAAACCCAATTATTCATCTTAATTGTCCCTCAGTTTATTCTCACATACACACACAAAACCCTTTCCCTTCTCATCCATTAACACCTTTTTTCCTACCAGCAGGGAAGGGAGAGATTATAATTTTTTTTTTTCAAATAGTTGGGGATATTCAGTTGCCATTGCAATGAGAACCATGTAAGTACACAGGGGCTACGTCTACACTGGCCCCTTTTCCGGAAGGGGCATGTAAATTTCACTAGTCGTTGTAGTGAAATCCGCGGGGGATTTAAATATCCCCCGCGGCATTTAAATAAAAATGTCCGCCGCTTTTTTCCGGCTTTTAAAAAAGCCGGAAAAGAGCGAGTCGTCGTAGGGAAATCCGCGGGGGATTTAAATATCCCCCGCGGCATTTAAATAAAAATCTCTTATTCTTACTTTGAAGAATAAGAGCCTCCGGAAAAGGGCACTTTTTCCGGAGGATCGGGGCCAGTCTAGACGCTCTTTTCCGGCTTTTTTAAAAGCCGGAAAAAAGCGGCGGACATTTTTATTTAAATGCCGCGGGGGATATTTAAATCCCCCGCGGATTTCCCTACGACGACTAGTGAAATTTACATGCCCCTTCCGGAAAAGGGGCCAGTGTAGACGTAGCCAGGGAGATCAGGCAGAGATGGGAATGGAAAAAAGAAGAATACAGCTCAAACTAGAAAGGCTCAACATCTGAACATTTATCTGCCTCACCATTCTAAGGCTATAAAAGAAAGGTGATTGAAAAAAAAATAAGTGTGACAAATAGTTAGATTGCAGGAGTGCCCACTATGTGGTTTCTAAACATGAAGACACAGTCCCTGCTCCGAAGCAGCATACTTTACTCACCTGAAGTATCCATCACAATACCACCTGCCTCTCTAATAATGACAGTCGCTGCTGCCAAGTCCCAGCAGTGTAAACCAAACTGGTAATATGCATCTGCAGCACCAGATGCCAGATGGCACAGAGCCAAGGTAGAACTTCCGATTACACGAATCCTAGAAGCAGAGAAAAGAAGAGGTATAAAAGAATGAAAGCGTGAAAACTCCTTGTATTTCAACACAGGTATTTATTAAAGGATACAATATGCATCACATATGATTTAAGTAGACTAACATTCTGCTTGGAATTTAATAAACTTGAGAATGTTTAGGATTTTTAATATAATAAAACTTTTTCTTAAAAACCTTACCCATGCACTTGTGCTTTCAGTAAGCTCTCCATGTTACTGAGGAACAATTTCAAAGTCTCAGGGTCGCGTTTTGGACCAATCTCTGTTAATATTAAGGCCTTCGACTTATCTGCAATGTAAACAGTTGTTTCCATTAACTCAACAACCTTTCAAAGCAGGCCTTGGCAATTTCTCCGCATTAAACACGAAGGTGCTTTTCACAGCAAAACTATTTTTCATACACTCAAACATTATTTCTCTTTTCATGTTCTTTCACAGGATAAGAAATTGCTTTTGTTTAAATGACTGTAACCAGACTGAATTGCTCATACAGCTGGGTTATCTAAAAATACTTGTTTGGTAAAAGAAGGGAAGGAAGAAGAAGGGAGAAAAAAAACCCGGCAGTTTCTATGGGTTTCCTTTGTTCCCATGGAATTTTTCTTTACTGACCAGTCTGCCTTTGGTGACCTCACAAACTTTTAGCAGTCAGCTAAAATAACTGACCTAATATCCATGCCTGTTCCCTGCCTCTGTAAATTAATTGTATTTTAAAGCAGAATAGTTTCTGAACAGAGAACTTTGATCTCTTGGATAAGACCATTAATTTTAATTAGACAAAATAAAGTGTATGAAAAGTATACAAATATCCACCAAAAACTACATCTGTCTTGCAATCACTACACCCTTTTTCATTCAGGTATGGGAAAGATTACAGAAGTCACAATCCTGAAAGTATCCACATATTTACCAGTTATTCTGTATAAAGAAAAGTCAGTATGCCTAATTCTGAGCTAATTTTTGTGGCACTATTTTTTCCTTTTGAATTAGAACATAGGAACATAAGAACGGCCGTACTGGGTCAGACCAAAGATCCATCCAGCCCAGTATCCTGTCTGCCGGCAGTGGCCAGCACCAGGTGACCCAGAGAGGGTGGACCGAAGACAATGATCAAGCGATTTGTCTCCTGCCATCCCTTTCCAGCCTCTGACAGAGGCCAAGGACACCATTTTATCCCCTGGCTAATAGCCTTTTATGGACCTAACCTCCATGAAATTATCTAGCTTCTCTTTAAACTCTATTATAGTCCTAGCCTTCACAGCCTCCTCTGGCAAGGAGTTCCACAGGTTGACTACACGCTGTGTGAAGAACTTTATTTTATTAGTTTTAAACCTGCTACCCATTAATTTCATTTGGTGTCCTCTAGTTCTTCTACTTAGGGAACTAATAAATAACTTTTCTTTATCGGCCCTCTCCACACCACTCATGATTTAATAGACCTCTATCATATCCCCCTCAGTCTCCTCTTTTCTAAACTGAAAAGTCCCAGTTGCTTTAACCTCTCCTCATATGGGACCCGTTCCAAACCCCTAATCATTTTAGTTGCCCTTTTCTGAACCCTTTCCAAGGCCAAAATATCTTTTTTGAGGTAAGGAGACCACATCTATACACAGTACTCAAGATGTGGGCATACCACGGTTTTATACAGGGGCAGTAAGATATTCTGTGTCTTATTTTCTATCCCTTTCTTAATAATTCCTAGCATCCTATTTGCCTTTTTGACCGCCGCTGCACACTGTTTATCCACATTAAATTTCATTTGCCATTTTGTTGCCCAATCACTCAGTTTGGTGAGATCTTCTTGGAGTCCCTCACAGTCTGCTTCTGTCTTGACTATCCTAAACAGTTTGGTATCATCTGCAAACTTTACTACCTCACTGCTTACCCCTTTTCCAGATCATTTATGAATAAGTTGAAAAGGATTGGTCCCAGGACTGACCCTTGGGGTACACCACTAGTTACCCCTCTCCATTCTGAAAATTTACCATTTATTCCTACCCTTTGTTTCCTGTCTTTTAACCAGTTCTCAATCCAAGAAAGGACTTTCCCTCTTATCCCATGGCCATGTAATTTACACAAGAGCCTTTGGTGAGGGACCTTGTCAAAGGCTTTCTGAAAATCTAAATATACTATATCTACTGGATCCCCCTTGTCTGCATGTTTGTTAACCCCTTCAAAGAACTCTAATAGGTTAGTAAGACATGATTTCTCTTTACAGAAACCATGTTGATTTTTGTCCAACAAATTATGTTCTTCTACATGCTTCACAATTTTATTCTTTACTATTGTTTCGACTAATTTGCCCAGTACTGAAGTTAGACTTACCAGTCTGTAATTGCCAGGATCGCCTCTAGAGCTCTTTTTAAATATTGGTGTCACGTTGGCTACCTTCCAGTCATTAGGTACGGAAGCCGATTTAAAGGATAGGTTACAAACCACAGATAATAGCTCAGCAATTTCCCATTTGAGTTCTTTTAGAACCCTTGGATGAATGCCATCCGGTCCCGGAGATTTGTTAACATTAAGTTTTTCTATTTGTTCCAAAGCCTCCTCTAATGACACTTCAATCCGGGACAGTTCCTCAGATTCATCACCCACAAAGGATGGTGCAGATTTGGGAATCTCCTCAACATCCTCAGCCGTGAAGACTGAAGCAAAGAAATCGTTTAGTTTCTCCGCAATGGCTTTATCGTCCTTGATTGCTCCTTTTATAGCTCGATCATCTAGGGGACCCACAGGTTTTTTTAGTAGGCTTCCTGCTTCTAATGTACTTAAAAACATTTTGTTATTTCTTTTTGAGTTTTTGGTTAGCTGTTCCTCAAAATCTTTTTTTGCTTTTCTCATTACATTTTTACACTTGATTTGACAGTGTTTATGTTCCTTTCTATTTATCTTACTAGAATTGGACATCCACTTCTTAAAAGATACCTTTTTGTCCCTCACTGCTTCTGTTACATGGTGGTTAAGCCACGGTGACTCGTTTTTAGGTTTCTTGCTACGTTTTTTAATTTGGGGTATACATTTAAGTTGGGCCTCTATTATGGTGTCTTTAAATTGTATTATATTCAGTAGCTTCTCATTTATATAAATATAGGGGTCTAATCAAAGCCAAAAAACCCTTAAAGCCAAAGGAAAGATTCACATTGAATTCAATGGGTATTTGATCAGGCTTTAAATGAGGCTAGGTATGTATTGTGTTACGAGCTATGCACAGTATTCCTTCCAAATGATTTTAGAGGGGGCTAGGGATATAACTATCGGGTATTTGTGTAAATGTGTAGCCACTAGAAATGTTAGCAGTTACACATTTACATGATCGGGGGGCAGGCAGGAGCTGGTGTTCACAGGGAGCAGGCAGGAGCCGGTTCCCCGCAAGCACTGGCTCTCACCTTCCCCCTCCCCCCCACTGCCTTTGATAAAGAGGCAGCAGTATGAGGGGCAGGTGACTCCTGCCTCCCCCCACTTGCTGCCTGTGGGGGGGATGCAGTAGGGGAGAGCACATGGAGTTGATAGGATTAACCAATAAGACCAGGCTCATCGATTAATTGTGTAATTGACTATATGTTGACATCACTAATAGGGATAGTGGGCCAAATGCTGAGTGATGCTATCAAATGGTATATTGATGACCAAATTAATGTGGCCCGAGACATCTTGTAATTAAATTGACATGCCAGGTACTGGCTACCTACAAATATAAAATGGTATAATGGATTCAAGCAAATTGATTAGCAATGGAGAAGTAATATAAATGTAATCAGAATAAAACAGTCACAGGATGATTACAAACATAACTGCAGAAACACAGACTTCATAACCATTTTTTAAAATGTTACATTGACATATAGAAGCACAGCTGTCCTTTAAAATTATGAGGACATTGATTTGCCATGACTGGAAATTTCTGGAAGCTGAAAGTAATCTGCTTTTGGTCCTCTGCTTACTACATCAGTGTTTACAATTATGGCACACTGAATACTACCGAATAATACTCTTACTACAGAGATCATTATTAACACCATGCATTCATACCATATACACCTCGGCCATAACAAAAATAACTATTCTATGGAACTGCAAAAATGGCTATAAACCTGTTCCTGATTAATAAACAAACACTTCCCAAATTCTTAGTCAAAGGTATGCTCATTTAGGAATTAGGTTTAAAGACTGACACACTGAGTTGGGGCTTAAGGCATAGGAAGGAATTGAGTTTAGGGAAGAGACCATCTAGTGAAAAGACACCAGGTGGCTTCAGGAATGCAAACTACAGGAGACAGCTGACCAGAAGACAAGTCCTCCACCCTGAGGAGGGGAAGAGAAAAAAGTCAAAAAACTTGCATCTGACGAAGTGGGTCTTTGCCCACAAAAGCTTATGCTTCAACACATCTGTTAGTCTTCGAAATAGGAGGGTAATGTAGGCATACCGCAATTGCAAATGAAGCCCGGGATTTGAATTTCCCGGGCTTCATTTGCATAAGCGGGGCGCCGCCATTTTTAAATCCCCGTTGGTTCGAACCCCATGCCGAGCGGCTACACGCGGCACGAACTAGGTAGTTCGAACTAGACTTCCTAGTTCGAACTACCGTTACTCCTCATTCAAAATAATGAAATTCTCCCACAGTTCTTGCTCAGCTGAAGACCCAGGACCATTTGGACATAAAAGTGAATGCAGTCAATTTACGAGGGATGTAGGACAGCTGGGAGATGCACTGATTCCATAATCCTCCCAGGCACACTCTGTCAAGGGGGTTCTTGTGGAATGTGGGATGGATTTTAAACTTTCATCCCCTGGCAAAACATTATTGGAAGGGTTGCTAGTTCAGGAGCATGGATACCTATTCATGAGATAAATGTCCTCCCTCAGGCACAGATGTCTCCTGTGAGCAAAAAGTGTACCATTTGCACTCTTTTTCTTCAGATGGAAGACACCTGGCTCACTAAAGACTGGTCAAAGCCACAAAGTCTGGATCCAAATTTTTCCAGCTATCAGGGAAGTTCTGTTCATTGAGGGTTAGCCTGGATCTATATCTAATATATACATTAAACTGCTTTAATTTACTATGGTTTCAACCTCCACCAAAATAATTTTTCTACTGTAATGTTTATCATTTCTGGGGTACAAAGATACAGTTCTGTGACATCTACTTGCTTCTGCCTGCTAATGTTGCCTTATCTTCTGCATTGGATTTGTTTAAAGAAAATGTCTTGTGTCTTTATCAGCATCGCTTAACTAGGTTTGTAGTAATAAATGCTAATACAGGATGGACTAAATGTTCTAACCAATTGTATGATGAAACATACCTCTCACACATCACAGCAAGTTGTTTTTAAAGAAGTATAATGTATGCATCCATTAATTCCATTTACTATTGGTATACATGTTTAAAACTGCAGTATATGGCACCATTAAGTCATCTGAAAATAAGTGAATGACATATGTCATAATAATGTAGGTATGATTCATCATTTCAGTTGTACTTTGTATCCCAGGAATTACACCAGTATAGAGCTGGCATGACATAGTGGGGAACGTCATGTATTTCTTTATCTTAAAGAAGTGTGGGAAATGCAAAATATTTCAGGACCATTTAATATTCATTCACATAAACCTCTACATTAAACAGAAATTTGGGGACATTATTATATTTACAAGCAAGACACAGTTATGATGCAGGAGAGAGACTTTAAATCAGGATAATAATTTCCATTTAGGATTAGCAGCAACTCTGAAATTAAATTTATTCCTTTTAGAGTTCTAACAAAAATCTAGACCAACCTGTCTCTTTTGATACCTGAAGCCTTTTTTCATTACAAAATGCCCCTTGACCTCTTCTGCCAGTGTATAATCGTTCTTCAGTGCAATGGTAAATTACACCAAATTCAAGCTTTAAGATTTTGAAAAGGAAAGAAATGAATGCAATTCAAATTACTCATCACAAATACAAACAACTAGTAATGGCAGAAAGATCAACATTATTTTAATTAGCATATATAATCAAAGATTATGCTGCTGAAAATCAGTAATTTTAGTGTTATACTGAAGATTTAGATACACATCATGTTAATTCCATCTAATCACATCTCATTTGTATGCACACTATTAGAATAGAATAAAAACGTATTCAGAAATTCAATTCAGAAGGTTAGTGAGAATATGTAATTTCCCCGAAGCCAAATTCGGAACATTTTATTCCCATTGGGGAGCAGTCACTCATATGAATAAACCCACTGATTTTTATCAGATTATCAATTTTACAAACCTCAAGCATCTCAAATTTTAACAATTCAAAAACATATGGGCTTGGCTTACAAAACAGGCATTTAAAAATACATAGTTTGCAGGTCATAATACATTTCACTTGTCTTCTAGTTTTTGAGCCCTTGAGATGCACTCAGGTCATCTTTTTGAGTTTTTCTTTGCAATCATGAAGGCTAGTCACTAACTGATCTTTTACATGAACACTGAGAGTCTCATTAAATCACCTGACTCTAGAAGCTAGGTCTTAAAGAAAAACATCAAATATCATGAGACTCACAATAAAAATCATGAGAGTTGGCAACACTGATATCTGTGTGAGTATCTGCTTGCAAATGGGAATTAGGAGTTCACAAGTGGAGCCTTAATAATCCAGGCCCAAAGTACCTAATATTCTGCATAACTGTAGTACCATCCATTAGAAGATCTAAAAAACATTGTACAGACATTAATACATCAGTCCTCACATAATTACTATGAATAAAATATCATCGACATTTTACTCATAGGGAAACAGAGACAGAGAGTGATGTGCCTAAGGTCACAGAAGACATTTATGGAAAAGCCAGTTAAAGGATTCTGATTTTGTTGACTCTCAGTCCTTTGCTGCCTCTACTCATGACCTGTGCTATGTGAGTGACTGCCTCTCACCCAATAGTCCTCAAAGATAGCTCAGAGGGAATGGGTTTTCCTTGCTCTTCATCCTGAGGTCCCATCTAAACCAAGCTGGAGTCAGACTCTTCTTGGTTCAGGGTCCCTATGTATGGAACTCCATATCTGAATCTATCCACAAGAATCTCTCTTTACTAGTATTCAAGATTTGATGTTAGATCTTTCTATTCAGATCAGTTCACCTATGCCCATTTTAGCTCCGTTATTGAGTTATTTTTTTCCTTTTGCCTGTTTATTTTTAATTAGAATGAATGATAAAATTTTATATTATTTTTTGTTTTAGTTTCATTTCGTATACTAAATTCCACAAGTAGCATCTAAAGCATAATGGTTGCTATTGAAAATAAATACACACTAAAGAAAGCTGATTTGTAATTATATGCAATACTTGAAAGCATTTGTGAAGAAATAATCTTTGGAATGGTACTAAACTCTGTCTCTCGGGTTTCTTTTTTTAAATGGCAAGTTGAAGTCAATATAAACATGTGTACAACACTATACTGTCCAAATCAAAGGGAGTTGTTAGTCCTCATCATCACATCTGAAAATTAGGCCATTGCTGAATTTGCACACGCAAAATTCCTGTTGGCTTTAATGGAAGCTAACAGCATGTCTATGCATGTAAATATAAAGGCCCAAGAGGCACACTTTACAATAGAGTGAATAACTTCTTTAAAATAGCTACTTTTATTTTATAAATCACACTTTAAAAGGACAGTAGCTGTACAACCCTTCTAAAATGAATTGTGAGATTTAGAAAACTTAAAAAGAATTGTATTCCCAAGTTCCATGGCCAGGTTCTTTGTTTTATCATGGACGGGGTCTTATGAAGGTACATGGAATAATGTTAAATTTACGGTTCCTCAAAAGCACAAAAATGCAGATTAAGGGAATCCAAACCATAACTTTGCACATATCACAGAAAGAAATCCTACTATATACTGTATATATCAACAATTGCCTGAGAGTCATGGAGATTGCTAACAGCTTTAAAGCAATAGGAATCAGCAGAACAAGAGAACATTAGAAGATAAATACAGAGATGCTTAGTCACAATTTAAACATAACTTATCAGTGCCTGATTTTATTAACCCTTGCATCAGTAATCCCTTTATAATCATATAAATCCAATGAATATGGGACTAACTACAGGAGTAAACGTTTGCAGTATTAAATTGTTATATTGGTGTGGTTGGACCAAACAAATTTCAATAGCTTGGAAAGCACCTTTGTATTAATTTTTTTTGTTCCCACAGGGGCCTGAGCCTTGTAGATGGATCTCAGGTTAGCAACTCACAGAACACATACCTCTTGGTTAACAGCAAATCCGATGCTAACTGCGACTGTTGGAAACCTGTGAAAAATAAGAAAGAAAGTACTATTCATGAATAATTTCTTTAAGTATGCAAATTTCGCAACTCTCAGCAGCAACAGGATCCAAAGAGAGCACTGTAAATTTTCTCAGCTAAAAACTATATTATACCTTCCCTCTGTTTCCACCCAAGAATGTCCTTTGCCTTTGCCAATGTTTTTAAAATTACTGAAACTAACATTTTGAAAAGTTAAAAAATAAATGTATGAAAACATAAATAGGGTTTTGTATATTAAACATATATATGAAATTTGACTGATTTTCCTCTTAGTTTAACTACACAATCTGATCTTAAATTAATTTTATTTTAATAAACAATTAAATGAATACTGGTATAAAAAAGAGTGAAACATCTACTTTTAAATGGCATGTAAAACAGCCATACACATAGTTATGCCAAATAGGGTTGCCAGACGGTTTCAACAAAAAAACCGTACACACTTGACATTACATCACAATCTACGTTACATCTTATTTAGAAAATTCCGGACATTTATATTTTCTCATTTATATTTTCTCACTTTATTTCCCGAACAGAAAGCTCAAATATTGGACTGTCCAGTTCAAAACCAGACACCTGGCAACCCTAATGCCAAACCATATGATTGTACAGCTTTGTTCCTCCATTACAACTCAAGTCTCTATGCACTGATGTATAACATATATAAGTAGCTGTGATTCAAGATTTCCTGGAAGATTAAGCAAAGAATCAGTAATCTTTAAATTTATGAAACAATAATATAGTTCTCACAAAAGTACATACATCATCTTTCAAATAATATATATATCATATATAAAAAGATAGTGGAGTGGATCCTGCAGGTCTTATTTAGGCAAAACCCTTCAGTTTGTAAAGATAATACTGTAGGTAAGTGTAAACTTAATGAACTTAACACAGTGAAATATGTTTCAGTAATGGGGTAGGTCGGGGGTGGGAGAAGGAATTATGAGAAACTGAAGATTTACTTTATTTTAACAATTCTCCATGTTACTGAATATACCTGTGCACAAAATTGCAGGTTCCATCAATGGGATCAATAATCCAGGTAGGGTTGTCAGTGAGGACACATTTTGAACCAGCAGCAGTGGACTCTTCTCCAATAAACCTATATTTGACATGGAGTAAAGTACGCTCAGAAAACTCAACTCTATCTTCTTGGCTTTTGGAGCCTAGTGTAACATTCATGTATTTTTAAAGTTTAGTTAAAAAATAACCCACCACACGCCCACCCACCACCAACCGACAACTCACAGAAACATTGTAAAGAAGTTCCAAAAAGATAGCTCAGAAATTATTTTATAGAGTACATTAAAAAAATCCCATTCTGTTTTCCCCTCCCTATATGTTAATGATATACACTTTAAAGTCATGTAATGTATGTAAAGATATATCTGAAATGAAACCCCAACTCTGGCAGAAGTTTAGATCTGGATTACAATTTGGCAGCTCAGACCCACTTCAAGCAGGAAGTACAGGCAGTCCCCGACTTACGCGGATCCGACTTATGTCGGATCCGCACTTACGAACGGGGCTTTTCTCGCCCCGGAGCTCACGTGCGGCGGGTCGCCGCCCGTGTCCTCCGGGGCGAGAAAAGCTTCTCCCAGTCTCCCTGGTCTGCTGGGGGGGTCCAGCAAAGCCGCTGGACCCCCCTAGCAGACCAGGGGGACAGGAGCAAAGCCACCCAGGCAGCGGGGGTCCCGCCGCCTGTGCGGCTTTGCTCCCGGGCAAACGAGCAAAGCCGCCCAGGTGGCGGCTTTGCTCGGGTGTCCTTGGTCTGCTGGGGGGGAGGTCCAGCGGCTTTGCTGGACCGGGGGGGCCCCCCCCGCCTGTGCGGCTTTGCTCCAGGGCAAAGGAGCAAAGCCGCATGGGCAGCAGGGTCCCGCCGCCTGTGCGGCTTTGCTCGGGTCTCCCTGGCGTGCTGGGGGGGAGGGGGGTGCAACTAGTGCACCCCCCCCCAGCAGACCAGGCTTTTGTTGCGGGACCTGGGGTAGAGCAGTTGGGGTGCTGCCGGGTTGGTCCTGAAGGCCCCCCCCCCCCCGGCAGACCAGGCTTTTGTTGCGGGACGCCTCCGGTAGAGCAGCTGGGGTGCTGCCGGGTTGGTCCTGTGGGAACCTACCTGGCAGCGCCCCAGCTGTTCTGTCCCAGGCTCCAGATTCAGCAGCTGCTGAAACTGATCAGGCTGATTCCAGGAAGCTGGGGGCAGAGCAACTCTGCCTCGGGCTTCCTGTAGTCAGCCCCTGGTCAGTTTCAGTGGCAGCAGATGAATCTGGAGCCAGTTCCGACTTACCTACAAATTCAACTTAAGAACAAACCTATAGTCCCTATCTTGTACGTAACCCGGGGACTGCCTGTAATGCAGGCTGCCAAATGTATCCTCTGTTCCTTGAAGGTGAATTAACATGAACTAATGCAGCTTTAGAAAAACTCTCACCACAGTTTTTTAATAGCAGAATAGATCAGGAAGTAAAAAGTTCACAAAACTAAACCTTTGCCTTTGTAAAACCCAGAGTAACTCACTGGGTTTTTTTTAAATAGAAAATTTATAGGAATTGATTTCTTGATTGAGCTGCTGATTTTCTCTCCTATTCTAGTCTACAGTATTTCAATAGGATTTCTGTTTTAATTTTCCTGTGAATTGTACATTCAGTTCTGGCATCTGTTCATTCACCCTTAGTTATCTTTGCCCTTCCCTAGATCAGTGGTTCTCGAATAGGGATATATATTATCCCAGAGCATACATCAATTCATCTAGCTATTTGCCTACTTTTACAATACGCTACAGGAAAAGTAATAGCAAAGTCAATACAAACTAAAATGTCATACTTGTTCATACTTCTTTCTATATTATACACTGAAATATAAGTGCAATTTTTATATTCCAATTGATTTATTTTATAATTATATGGCAAAAAGTGAGAAAATAAGCCATTTTTCAGAAATAGTGGGCAGTATTTCCGTGTCTGATTTGTAAGCAGGTAGTTTTTCAGTGAAGTGAAACTTTGGGGTAAGCAAGACAAATGAGACTTTTGAAAGGAGTACAGTAGTCTGGAAAGGTTGAGGGCCACTTCCCTATATGACTCAGAGCCTGCACCTGCAAGTGTTTTGCATGTGGAATGCCTATTGATTTCAGTGGTAATTCTGAACACAGAGTCAGCATGGTAGAGTTACATTTTGTCATTTGCACCATACTCAAGAAGTTACGATTTGGCACAGGGGGCAGTCCTGCAAAGGCCTGTTGGCAAAAGAAACTTCCTCCTCAAGCCAAGAACAGACACACAAATGGAGCCCCTTCGTATCTGCTACTACTGCCCTATGATTACGTTAACTCCACTGCTTGTTGCACTGATGGAAAGAAAATGTGGGTCTTCATAGTGCTGTATCCACAAACCTGAGATGGTCTCCATAGCATTAAGGGGATGCAAAAGCTCCTACTTGGTTCCCCCCAATCCTTCCCCTATCCCCAGCTCAGTAGATATACATTAACTCAGCTGCATCAGAGGCTCTCTGTGGACATGGAAGAAGGGGCAAGGCGTGCCACTAGTGTCTCAAAAACCTTTACAGAAAAGCTACACATACTAAAAATATGAATTCCCAAGGGACACTTACAAAACATTACACAGTACTAGGATAGAGGAAGCAGAAAGACTGAAATTAGTGGAAGAAGTTTCTAGTCAGATACAAAGCAACGTAAGCGCTCTGTTGTCAATAATCCAGTGTTTTATATTTTGACAGTTATTTCACATGTCTTCCTTGGAAACGTGGTAGATTTTATATTTATGAGACAGAACCAGCCTCATTCTTCTCCCATGCAGTTCTCTAACGACAAAGTACATACTTGTGGAGGGAGATCACCCAAGAGTTATGCACCACTGAGGTCCCATGTGAAGGCTTATGTAATGCATTGCTCTTGATTGGGCCATATGCACAGGAGTGAATTTCACTCTGAATGCAGCTCAGACCTGACCTGCAAATTCCCTGCTATTCCAACAGAAAATTTTACTGTGGTTTTATGATATGAACAGATGTCCATTAAGACTAGGCCAAAACCACAAAACTCATTTTCACCGGAGGGTGGGGGATGGGACCTAATCCAGATTTGAATAGAGGTCAGAAGAGCTGAGAGGCTAGTGTGTTAAACTACTGTATCAACGTAGCCACCCTTCCCACTTTTCAAACTGTATCTATCTAAAACTTGGTATGCTATATGTCAGAGTGAACAACACCTTCTTTCTTTCCTTAAAGAATAAATCTTAGCTTGTTTATATTGTATCCAGGATGATAGGGCCCCAAATCTCATTAGGGCTTTTGGGAGCTATCACAGTGCAAATAGATTAAATAATAAAAATGTTTACTGGATCTGTGAACCAAGATTTTAAAAAATATGTGTCTTTAATGATAAAGCTGGACTTAAGAAGCCTAACTTTATGCACCCACTTTTGAAATCTTGGCTACCCACCCCCATCAAAATATTTTAACTCCCACCTAATGTTCATGTTCAGTTCTTGCCCATTTGGGCTTCCTAGAAATTGGAAAGGAGTGATGACAGAGGCACTTATGGAGAAAAAGGGAGGAAACAGATTAATGGTATGAGAGAGTAAACCATGTAAAAGAGAGACAATGACAGTCTCTGATGTGAGTCACTTCCAGTCTTCTTTGGCTGGGAAAGTGATGGTTACAATTAAGGCCCTTGTGGGTGGGCTAGAGAGAGGCTTGGAGCAGTGAAGTGAGTGATGGCAGGGAGAGAAAGGTCCGTTGGGGCTTTGACGGGGAAGGACACAGAGAGAAGAAAGCCTGGTGAGGTGGAAAAGGAAGGCAAAAACATGTTTGCTGTATAAGACCAGTTAAATGTCTCTCTCTATATATAAAAAAAGTTTTTTCTGCCAGGTGACAGAATGATGTCATCGGGTTCTCTGGCTGTGAAAGCCAGGGTTGGCAAGCGTAGCCAACTAGCAGGGTGCAGTCCCCAGTACTATTTACTTTCAAAACTTTTGTAATGTAGGAAAGCTGCTTTGAAACTGAAAATGTATTAGCACTATTGATTTTAAAAGGACTTTACACAGTAACAATAAATGTACAGGTACAGGGGCCTGATCTCATGCCCATCTGAGTCAATGACAAAGTTCAATCTCATTGACTTCACTAGTGCAAGGTCAGACTTGTATATCAGTATGATCCTGCACCCAGTGAAGTAACCAGTAACAATCCCATTACCGTCCGTGAGAGCAAATTAAGCCCATCATAGTGCATAACACAGGACCGAAAGATACTGCTTTGTATAAGAATAATCTCATTAATGGAAAACTACATGATGAGTAGTTTTCATTCTGTGCCTTATCTAAACCATTTCACTCTGTATATTGTTACTATGAAAAGATAAAAAAAGTTTAAAAAATCTGTCATCTAGAAACTACTCAATGAAACCTATCGAAGTACAGAAATTCTTTTTTTTTTTAAAGAATTGAGTAAAGCAGAAATGAAAACTGAGGCACAGGTTAATGGGCTGACTCTCATCACTAGCCAAGTAGGGAGCGGGATGTTCAACACAGAAATAAGTTTTTAACAAACATTTCCGCTATTTCCCTTTACCTCTATGAAATCTTCTTGATACTAAATGGTGCACTGACTGCATCATTCTGCCACATCACTAGGATCTCTGATTGCAGTAACAACTCTGGTAATGATTGCACCACTGGGATTTCCTTTTTGAACTAAGAAGTACCAGTACAAAAATAATATAAGAAAAGGGGAATAAAAAAAATCTAAAAATATTAGCTGGATGCCTCTGAGAGCCAGACTAGTGAAGAGACAGAGCAAATAAACCTGGACTGAAGTCAATTTTTTTCTTTGCTGTTTACCCTTGTACTTGGCTACTGTTACTCAGATGTTGCAAGACCTTTACTCAATAGAGAACTATATCCTGTAACTGAAATATGCATCTGGATCAAAACAAACCCCAGTCAAAACAAAGCAAACAGAAACCAAACTATCTTAAAGAAAGCTTAATTCACTAAGTTAACTTATGAAATCAGAAACTAGGAAACATGCCTGGACAAATTTGAAGCAGAAGTTGGCTATAAAGGGTTAATAATCTCTCACTGTGTTGGAGACTTCTATTTCTGGGTCCATGTTGACCTTGCACCTGTTGTTCCTGTTCTAAATAGCCTGAATATTCCTAACACTTTATGCTCATGTTATATGAACCTTGTATGCTACACTTCCTCTAGCACAAGGTTTCCCAAAGTGCGTTCCATGGAGCCCTGGGCTCCATGAGATGGGTCCAGGGGCTTCACCAGAAAATATTAATGGCAGTTGTTATTTTGTTACTAATTTTCTGATAGTTGTCTTGGGGAATAATAATGTATAAGAAATATGCAAAAAATAAAAGTATAATTTCAAAACTTTGCCTATTTATTTTGGTATTTTAAGGGCTCCACCAAATTTTCAGGACCCTGTAGGGGTTCTGCAGTTGAAAAATTCTGGGAAACCCTGCTAGAGCAGATCATTAAAGAAAACTCATATACTACAGATCAGACAACAGCACAGCAAACTACTTTTGATGGAATATTATTAGAATAATATATTTGTAAATACCAGCACCGCCTAAGAATTGCAACCAAATACAGTATACTTAAATTGTGTAACGTTGCCATGATTTTGGATCACACAACAAATACTTAGATGTACTTAGTCTAAATGTTTTCAGTAATTCTTGCATTAAATATACTCTAAACATCAACATGAGCAACTGGATCAGATTTTTCATATGTTCCATTTTAGCTGGATTCTTTGGAATCTGACACAAATTCATCTGTACGTAGAAGGATAGTGCAACGCCTGTGTACCGTGTAAAGTACACAAAGAGGATTTATGTAGATTTAAGTGGCACAGAGGCCTTGTATTGCCTTCCTCTGCAGAGGGCTGAATGTTACCCTAATGGTTTTAAAGTCAAATGTGGAAATCAGTTGTACAGTATATATTTTGTGTGTGTCAAGCCAAGACGTGTTTTATAAAGCCTATTTCCCGTCAGTGAATATGCTAAAATGTATCATTTTAAGGCCTTTGTTTATAAGTGTTACTCTTAGGGTACGTCTAGACTACAGGCTTTTGTCGACAGAAGTTTTGTCAACAGATACTGTCGACAAAGCTTCTGTCGATAAAGAGCGTCTAGACTGCAACCAGTTCTGTCGACAAAGCAAGTTGCTTTGTTGACATGACAGTGTAGACGCAAAGGACAGTGTAGATGCAATAACGACTTCTGTCAACAGAACTCTGTCAACAAAAGGTGTTATTCCTCGTAGTATGAGGTTTACAGCCGTTGACAAAACTGCTGAGTTCTGTCGACATTATGTCAACAGAACTCAGCAGCAGTGTAGACACAAGTATAGTTTTGTCGACAAAAGTCCACTTTTGTCGACAAAACCCTGTAGTCTAGACACACCCTCAGATAGCTCAACAGGAATCACATTTCTTAAATTATGTTTAAGACCTGTAGATAAATTCCATGAACACTTGGTATATTTATTTTTCTATTGGCTAGGCATCTAATGCTTCAAAGAGCTGAGTCCCCTTGATTCTTTTTTACCTCAGAACTGTTTGGGAACATATGATAGAAGAGCTAAATATAGCTCAATGCTATATTCAGTCCAGATTCTGTACACACACATATGTATATGAGTAAAACAAAATTACGCACATGACTGGGGCCTTAGTGATAACTGAATGACGCTTGATTCTAAGACATTTATTAACAATGGAGACAGGAGAACAGTGATATCTAATTGGTATTAAAACTGAATTCAGTTGTTAGGGACTGAATTTTATAAATTCATTTTTTAAATTATGCTTACATATGCAACCTGCACAAGGGCAACAGAGTCCTGGACAGTTATTTCTCTAGAGATACTTACCTGTGGGAGGGAAACTTCTCTTTCAGAGAAGAAATAATCACATTTTCTACAAATTTATCAGTTTCTGTCACAAGGTCTGCTGCAGATGTTTTTGTAGACACTCGCTTGTCCTCTGTAAGAGCTTTCCTAATAATCTGAAAGAAAAGTATATACATCAGTTTTATTTCTAACATTTCTTCCCTAGACCTGGGCCGGGAACCCTGAGGCTCAGGGCTCCCCCACAGCATTGGTATGGGGAAGTGGTGTGTGCTCCACTCCCCCTCTCCCTCCCCCTCCCCCTTGCAGAGCTGGAGCACATAGTATCTACTAGCCTGGGCCCCCCAGGCTCTGGTGTGTGAGGGGAATGTGAGGCGTGTCTTTCTTCTTCTGTCGACAGCCACGTCACTGAGGGTTTTGAGGGGTTTTTTTTTTTTTTGCTTCTTACTTGTGTGCAGCCCCCAAATGATTTTCAGTGGGTCAGTGGCCCCCTAATGCAAAAAAGGTTCCCCGTTCCTGCCCTAGACACTAAGAAAATACATTACATATGAGGTTCATTGCTGATCCTGAAATTCATTGACAGATCAGTGTGCTACCATGCAAAGGAAGGAATCCAGTTCTGGGACACAAAATCCATCCTGTTTGTTCAGGGGTGCCAAATACTGCTGAGGCAATGAGGGTAGAAAGCACCTTGCATCACTCTATAGCAGGGGTGTGCAATAATTTTACACAGGGGGACCACTTCAGAAATTTCTGAAGAGGCCCTGGGCCACCCCAGAAGTGGAGGGGCTTCAGGTGGAAGGGGTGGGCCAGGACACTGCCCTGCTTCCCCACCCCCAGAAAATGTAAACCATAGTAGCTTGGCTCTGAAAAGAAACTTCTATCAGATTTAAGCCATGATTTTCAAATATGGGGATGTAGCAGTAGGGTCCTAAACCACATAGATGGCCTGGTTTAAAAAAAAATCCTTAGCACTATGAGCTGGTCATAATTGCTGGATACTTAGTATATTTCTAAATAAGGTGGCCACTTATTCAGGTGCCTAAATATGGACTTAGGAGTCTAACTTTGGACTCCGTTGTTTGTTTGTTTTTTAAATCTTGGCCTGTTTATTCCAAATGGCAAGACACTATAAAACAAGGCATGATGAGAATGTTTCTCTTGAAGGGACAGCTAATTTATTTTTTTTAACACAAAACAATTATGAAGTACTTAAGAAGTTAAAACAGTCAGTGATAGTAAAGACAAATTAACATAATTGCTTGATTTGTACATAATTATATAACATAAAAACCAACATCAAACCCATATTTCAAACACAGCCTCCTCGTGAGTGAGGCACGTTTCTTTTAAATCCTCCAACAAAAACTCTGTGGTGCTAAAGTATTTTTAAACTTACCTAAGGAAAAGCTATTTATGTTCAAATGCCAATTTGTTTCACACTACTATGTATGAAACTGGAAAGCAGCGAATTCTAAATTCCAATTACATTTCTACCACTTGTTTATCATGGGAAAACATATTACATATGAAGGGTTTCACTCTCAACTGTTGCAGTGATTGATCTTAGATAATCTGGACCATGAGTTGGTATGTGACTCTAGAAAAGTCCCACTACATATATGTCTCTGTTTCACCAGCTGTAAATTGAGTTATACTTATTTTCCTAGTTCACAAAAGAGTTTGAAATTATATTTTTTGGCTTTGAAGATGCCACACAAACATTTTTGTATTAATACATGGCAAAACGTTTACTCCACCAAGTGCCTTTATTTCCTTACGTGCCACCCCATTTTCTTAATGGGATTGAACCTCTTTAGATAACTTAGGGTGCGTCTCACAACACCCTAAACTCGAAATAAGATATGCAATTTGCATAGCGCAAATTGCGTATCTTATTTTGAATCTCTTGCGAAATAGCTTATTTTGAAATTTGGCACGTCTGCACAGTGCCAAATTTCGAAATAACATGCTATTTTGAGACATCCCTTAATACTCGTGGAACAAGGGTTATTGAGATGCCGAAACAGCATGCCCGTTATTTTGAAAAATATTTTGAAATAACGGGCTGCTTGTTAAGACGTGGGGTAGCTATTACAGGATACCTCTGGGGTCCCAAAATAGCCATGCAGTGTAGAAGTAACTTTAGTGCTTTATATGTACATTATATTAAGGCCCTGATCTTGTAAAAACTTTACATCTGGGTAATTCTGAACATGTAATTAATTCCACAATCAATAGGCTCACACTTACATGTATAAAGTTACCTTTATGGATAAGTATTTGCAGGATTAGGGCCTAAATTGACTATCATGATGTCCCCAAACAGTCAGAAAGCATTTACTTGAATTAAGAGGTCTCATTTATGTGATGTTATTACACATTAATTTTTTTCCTTGGCTCAGAGCTAGACTGAGGAAGTAATACAAAAACTGGTCTGCCCTACGAGGCATTCTGACTTAGCGACATACCTATGAGTCTCAGTTCTTTTCCTGAATTCCCTTTTCTCTTGGCATGTGCCAACAGCAAACTACTACTCCATCTGTACAGGCTCAAAAAACTCCAGTCAGGGGTTGGGGTTTGTGGCCTAGGTTCTCCTAGTTTTTTGCCTATCCCTTTGTCCCTCTTATATGGACAGATTGAAGATCTGTGTGGGCTGCATAAATTCCTAAAGAGAGTAGTTCTTACTTCATCTCACTCTCTTGCATCTGAAATCCAAGTCAGAAACTAGTTTACTGTGATTACCCTTTTTGGCATTATAAACAAAACAGCATTTGTTCTTTATAAATGAAGCTTATCAAGTATCTCTTAATGGGTCAGATTCTAATGTTGAATAGTACCTTGCACTAGTCCACTGAAATCAGTGAGACTGCTTGAGGAGTGAAGTGCTTCAAGCTTGGGTAAGAGTATTAGAATCTGGCCAAATGGTGAAAAAATACAGAGTATGTACAACATAATCCCATTAAATTTGAACCCTTACAGAACACTTGATATAATACATTTTAAATGGCTAAATATAATCTTCTAATGCATTTGGCTGGTCTTCCAAATTAGGTGTTGGAGTTATGTAAAAGCGTCTTTCAGCATTATAAGAGCTGATAGATAAGTGCAATCAGGAACCACAAAAAGTGTCAATGAAATAAAAATAGCTCATCCCCCATTGGTATTGTGTAATCAAACTGGCAACCAAGCTAAGCAATTATATGTTTGCTATAAAAATACTGTATAACTCTAATCATCCTCATTAGATTACAGTTCGTCCATATTTTATCATTGTTTATTTTTATATGGAAGGACAGATAATACCTAGTTGCTGATCTAACAGCTCAGTAATTTAGACAAGGACATATTGACACATCATCACACAACTAAGAGGTGGATTGTAAATGGCCCTTGTGTGACTGCACAAAGCGCAGAGAGAAGTGAAGATGCAAGAGTGTGACATAATCATGATGACATTGCAGAGGATGACAGAGACTGTTCCTTACTAGTATCTCCTAGCAAGCCACCTAAAGGGAATGGAGAAAAGGCAAGGCCATGGCTCCATCTCTTTCCATACCAGACAGTAGCGCAGACGGGCTGTGGAGAGGGAATCATGCTCTGCCCTCCCAAGTGCATGGTATGCACTTGCCTGTCATACCTTTCAGTTCTAGGAGGGATTGTGTCTCCCGGAGTGTGGCTCTGGATCCCCTCTCCCCCGCCCCCCCAATGAGCTGCACCTTAAGGGCGCAATTAAATCCTAAATCCCCAATGGTGGGAAAAGTGTAATATCTCAAAACAAAATTGTTCTTTAAAATCATCCCTGCCTAGGTTTTACTAAATATCTTAACAATGTCACAGAAGAACAAAACAATGTAAGATGAAATCCTGGCCCTGCCAAACTCAATGGGAGTTCTGTCCGGATTTCTCACCTAATTCTCTAGCACCTTTCTTCTATCACAGTTTAAAAACATAATGGAAACATTAGCATGCTAGACATATCCATTGCCTAATTTTCTTCTCAGGACCTCATGTCTAGGGCTAGTTTACACTGGGGATATGAAAGCGTAACCGTGTACACGGTTAACCAATGAATCTGGGCTCATTGGTTAACCTTCAGTTACACACAGGCTCTGGGAACGCACAGCATAAATGAACATAAGAATGGCCATACTGGGTCAGGGCAAAGGTCCATCTCGCTCAGTATCCTGTCTGCCAACAGTGGCCAATACCAGATGCCCCAGAGAGAGGGAACACAACAGGTAATCCTCACGTGACCCCTCTCCTGTCATCCATTTCCAAACAAAAAGAGACTAGGGACACCATTCCTACCTGTCTTGGCTAACAGCCATTGATACACCTAACCTTCATGAATCTATCTAGCTCTTTTTTGAACCCTGTTAAAGTCCTAGTCTTCACCGCATCCTCTGGCAAAGAGTTCCACAGGCTGACTATGTGCTGAGTGAAAAAAAAATTCCTTTTGTTTGTTTTAAATCTGCTGCCTATTAATTTAATTTGGTGACCCCTAGTTCTTATATTGTGGGAATAAATAAATAACTTTTCCTTGTTCACTTTTTCCATCCCAGTCATGATTTTATAGACTTCTATCATATCCCCGCTAATAAGAGTAGATCAGACCTATATTATCCAGTACTGTTGAAATATCAAACATGTGAGGAGATGGGGCCAGTTACATCTGTGTCATTATTAATTAGCTATATATATTAATAATATTACAGTAATACATGCAGCCTCCAGGGCCTCTGGCTAAGGTATGGGGGGGCCTGGCTCTGTACCTCCAGAAGGGATGGCAACTCAGCTGGAATGGGCAGGGCCAGGAGCAGCCAGCCCTCAGTGTCATACCCTTCCCTGCAGCCCTCAGAATGCCCGGAGCACGCAATGTGGTACCCCCACCTCCTCAGGCAGCCCTAAGAGCTGCCTCCAGTGCTCAGTGCAATGCTATGGCATCGATTTAAAGGGCTGGGGCCTCTGGCTGCTGTTGCGGTAGAGCTGGCAGTGGTCAGGAGCCCCAGGCTCCTTGGAATCACTGGGTCCTGAAGCAACTGCAACCTTTGACACACACACCCCCATCAGCAGGTCTGAATACATATGAAAATGCTTTTTTCTTACTAAGAAAGAAAATATATTAAAACATATTTACTTTGGCAAATCATACTCATCTTATTTTTAAATATAAAAAATGCGCCCAGCCATAAAATATGTCTGCTTCTGGAGGGTGCCTTGGAGCCTTTTTTTCCATACTGCTAATTAGAATTATTTAAAAAAAACACCCCTTCCTTACCTATGGGCTATTTTTTTATTCTTTCTGAATTATGCAATGTGAAGCAAACACTCCTATGGTAGAATGTCTCTGAAATGCCATACTAAGACAATACTTAATTACTGCATTCTCAATTTCCTCAAACCGGTATGATAATGCCATTCATCTAAAAGATAATTATTGGTGACTTGAGTATTTGTCATTCAGGCTGCTAACGCCTCCAAAAAACAAAACATAAGGAAAGACGAAAGGCCGCATTGCTACACGTTTGCTAAAAATATCACCTATGCTCTGCTTCTACAAACGCAAACCCCTTCATTGGTATTCAACACCATGCTGAAAATTCTCCTATGTGCAGCATGCACTGGCAGGTCTCTAGCTCAACAAAAGCATCCGTCGCCCAATGTGCTTTGCAAAAATCTTGGGTTTTTAACAGCGACTTGGTGTGATTGTTTGGCCCGCGTGCACAACATGCCATTGGTAATGGGAAGCAGGGGCGCTGCGGGGATCTGGCTAAGGCAGCTTTGTCGCCGCGTTTGACCTGACCCAGTTGGCTCTGACGCTAATCCCCTCCCCTCCAGAGATCGCTGCTGCAACTCTTCCCCCGGCCGGTGCCTTCCCCCGCCCGCCCTCACTCACTAACACCGCAGGCACCAACAGGTCCGCACACGGGTGTAGTGCGCACCGGGGAACTGAGCTTGCCGCTCCGGCAGCATCATTAGCCCTTCCCTTTCCTCGGGGAGGGGCATTTATGGGGGGGGGGGTAATAGGGAGAGAGCCGCTGAAAACTCTCTACGGACTGCGGCTCTCTCCTGCTAGGTAGCGCGGACCCTGCTTTCCCTGCAAGGAGGAAGGGACTGACCCTCCAGAAGGGCAAGGGCCAGCCTGGGTGCGGGGGGAGGAAAGGTTCTCTCTAGCCGGGTCCCCGAGCCGCCACCGGGGCAGGCAGAGCGAGCAGGGGCAGGGGAGGAGACCGAGGCACAGTACAGAAGTATCTCAGCGTGGGCTCGTGCTGCTGCTAACCTGCCCAGCCCGGAGCGCCAGCTGCACCGCCACCTCCATGCACTCCTTCCAGGGGTCCCCTCCGGCCGCGGCCCCCAGCCCCTCCTCTTCGCAGGGCTTCATCGCGGCGCCTCCTGCCGCCTCTTCTCCGGCAGCTCCCGGGGCTCCGTGTCACTCTCACTGCCAAGGCGCAAAAGTGTGTGTGTGTGGGGGGGGGCCGTGTTCCAGCTTCCCCCTCCCCTCCCGCACCGATCCGATCTGCCCGTGAACTTCCCTGGCTTCTCCCCGGCCGCTGCTGTAGCAGGAGGGGGGGGCGCATGGGGAGGTTCCTCCCAGCTGCCGCAGGCTGCTGCTTCCAGATGCAGGGTGTCAGTTGTGCTGCTGCTGCTGCTGGCTCGTTCCCCCGCCCCCCGGCCTTTCCTGTTTCTCTCCTCCTCTCTCGTCTCTTCCCCTTTCCTTCTCTCCCCAGTGCACAGAGGGAGGGCTGGGCCTGTCCCTCCCTCCCCCTGCGCCGCCTCTGTGCCTGCCCACACGGCCTGCGGAAGGCGGGCGGGGGTAGGAGGGCCAAGCATCTGACGCTAGCACTGGGCAGAGCGATGGGAGAGGGCTGCAGCTGCCGCTCAGAGCCTGCAGGCCGCTAATTTTAGCGACAGGGGCTGCTGAGGAGGTAAGCTGCTCAGTAGCGGTGACTCAATGCTGCTGTGAACAGCAGGATGTTCCTCGCTTTGATCTTCCCCCTGGCCCGTAAACCTTGCGAGCTGTACTTAATCTCACTCTTTTGTGCAGCATGAAGACAGGCTCGAACGGCACCGCTCGCTCTTCTAGTTACAGGGAAGGATTAACATCCCACTGAACCTAAGAATGTATAACCTTGGTGATCTGAACTGAACCCCAACCTTCCTGTTAACTGAAATGCGTTTCGTGTCCCCCAGTGTCTATTAATTGTAGCATTCTCCTTTTGGACCAGCTCTCACACTTTGACCCTACCTCCACTCCTCAACCATTTTGTCTCTGAGCATATTGCAATATCTGTTTCCCCAGGCTGTTTGAGAAGGGTGCAAGTTCCTGACTCACCTCCTGAAAGGTGAGATCAGAGTTTGTTATATTTCGTAAGATATTTTTGATGTTTTTCAATGTTAACCCACTAATAGCATTGTTGGACGTGGATGAACATAAGGTACACATTCTAAATATAGAAATACATATTTTTCATAATAAATCCTCAGCAAATATGTTAGAATCAGTAATGTGTTTAGTATACAAATCTTATTAAAATATATACTCTGAGAGTTAGCAGGATTTCTATTATATTTGACAAACAAAGCTATTTAAAACAACCGTCCTAAGGTTTTGCCAAATTCATGGTAAGATATTTGCTGCCCTAGAACAAAGTGGAGATGTATGTAACTTAGATAAGTAATGTTCCCTAAATATTTTACAGCAGTAAGCAGCTGTCTGGCCTATGTGGTTTGCCTATTCTGAAAAGGTTATCGTATATAATCCTTAATGGGAAGGATAACATTTGGAAATCAAGTGTCAGAGGAGTAGCTGAGTTAGTCTGTAACTGGAAAAACTTAAAAAACAATTAATAGTCTTGCAGCACCTTACAGACTAACAAAACATGGAGATGATATCATGAGCTTTCCTGGGCAAAACCTTCTTTCATCTGAAAAAACTATTCATCTGAAGAAGTGAGTTTTGCCTACGAAAGCTCATGATACCATCTACATGTTTTGTTAGTCTCTAAGGTGCTTTAAGACTGTTCATTTTTATTTGGAAATAAGTCAGACACAGGACAGGAACTGAAAACAAGTGGTAGGCTGCGATTATTTTAGCTGCTTAGAAAATGCTTATGTTTTAGGCTGTAATATAACGTTAATAACTACCCTAGGAAAAAAAGAGAATTTTTCTGGAAAATTAAAATTAGGAGATGTAAGCTAGGATACTAGAAAGAAAAGCCAGCTCAGCCATTGTGTTAAAGAATTTTATAGAATTGAATACTTAAAATATGTGTAGAGATGGCCATATAGATGTTTCAGGTGTCACTGTTATACACAGTAATCAACTGGAACTTCTCAGTGGCAAAAGGAATAGAAATAAAAATCTACTGATCCAATAACATAGGCTTCTACCACATAAACTAAAAGAAAAATATGTTACTTAAAAACATGAGGGCCTCTGACACACAGATAAGTAGCTCAGATACTTTAGTAGAGTCGCAGTGGGGTAGCCATGTTAGTCTGTATCTGAAAAACAATGAAGAATCCCGTGGCATCTTGAAGTGTGGGTGGCCGGTATGCTAGGTGGGGGACGGGCCTGCCTTCCCAAACCACCAGCCCGGCCCTGCCCACACTCTTACCCCGGAATTCCTACTGTAGGCGGAGTGTTGCTGCCCCCAAGCACCCACACTCTGGGCTGCAGAGCTGGGGAAGGTTGGGCCACCCTCTGCCTGCCCTCCCCATGCTCTGGGACCAGATAGGTTAGGAGCCGCACCCCTTGTCATGCTCTAGGGCCGGGAAGGCTCGGGCTGCATGCCCTACTCCCTCCCTGTGATCCGCGCACTGTAACACCATAGCCATATTGGCAGCCAAAGCCGCCTTCTGCAGCCAGACTGAAGAGCAGCAGCCATTAGCTGTAAGGCTTAGTCACATACTCACATTCCATCTAAATTGCATTAAAATAGTGTCATACCAAGCTGTGAGAAGGGGATTTTGTCCTGATAGCTCTCACACTGTCACCAGATAAAGAAACAGCTCTCAAGACGGGCAGGAGTGGCTCGAGGCCGGCTGCAGCAGCTGGCGCCCTAGGTGGGATGGCGCAATCAGCGCTCCTGCCTGAACGGCTGTCAATGGCCATGACGTCATCATGGGGCACCCCGTGACGTCATCATCGGGCGCCCGGGCCAGCGGCGCCCTAGGCAGCTGCCTCGTTTGCCTAGGCTCACAGGCCGCCCCTGAAGACGGGTAAAGAAAACTTAAGTAACACCATTCTATCTGGCAAAAAAACCTGCTTATCAATACTTGAGGTTGTGGAATCCTCATTCTATGATCATTGTCATTACACTTTCCTATTGTTTGACTGTGATCTCTGTCTGGTTTGTAACTGTTTCTGTCTGCTGTATAATTAATTTTGCTAGGTGTAAATTAATTAAGGAGGTAGGGTATGATAGGTTAGGTAATTTTGTTATGATTGGTTAGTAAAATTATACTAAAATAATTGGTTAAGGTATAGCTAAGCAGGACTCAGGTTTCATTATATAAACTGGGGTCCAAAAAGGAGACCATGAAGAAGATTGGAAGTAACAGAAGCAGAAGGAAAGAAGCAAAAGGCTGGAAGAAGATCAAAGGGAGATAAGGAACACCAAGAAGAAGGGGGAAGACCTGAAAGAAGAACTCACCTTTGAGACACAGCCTAAGATAAGAGCTGCCAGGACTCTCCTGCATGATCGTGACATGCAGCAGCTAAGATCCAGAGAGACTGATATTGCCTGGCCGACAGGGGAAGTCTGCCTCTACCAGGGTTATCAATCTGACAACCTTTCAGAAAAAAAAAAGGATTTCAGTTGAAATAAAAACGACTATAAAATGCCTAAGTCATGAGCATATTTGCATTTTTAAAACATTTGTAATTCACTAAACTTAGTCCTGGTCTATACTACAATATTTGGTTGGCTTAACCATATCACTCAAGAGCTGTGAAAAATTGCACACCCTGTGTAATGTAATTAAGCTAACCTAAGCCTGGGTGTAGGCACTGCAAGGTGAAAGGGAGAATTCTTTCATTGTTCTAGCTACCACCTCTTAGAGAAATGAATTTACTAAAGTGACTGACAAGCTCCTTCCTTCTCTGTAGTGTCTACAAGACAGTGCTACAAGCACTTCAGCTGCACTGCTGTAATATTTCTGGTGTTAGGCACAGAAACCCTTACTCTCTATCTTATAACCTGTGCCAATTCAGATACTGTATTTCTTGGGGGGAAAGGAGGGAATTCTGGTCCCTGTTGGCTTCCCATCCGAGATCCTATTCTTGTCCTTTTTTATCTCCCACCCTTTCCTCCTAAAGGAAACCCAGGTCTCCCTTGGCTGGGAGAGTGTCATCTTATAGTGCATGAGCTGGTGCTGCCTGAAAGGAGCTGATCAACAGACTCTCCTGTGCAATGGAGCTGACATGCCCCTGGGCAACATAGTGGGGGCCCAGCTCCACACTTCTGAAAGGAATGGGGCAGAAGGGGCAGGGCTAAGGGCAACTGGCCTTCAGCACTGCCTGGAGTGCAGTGTGCCACCTCCCCGCCCTTAGAGCTGTTCATAGCACACAGCCTGGCACTCTGGCAATGATTTAGAGGGCCCTTTTGAATCACTGGGCCTTGGGCCAATTGTCGCCCTTTCCCCCCCATCAGCAGGCCTGCCCCTGTGCTCTCCTTTACAGGAAGAGACTCATCATGTACTAAGTCACAGCACCATGTAGTTCACCCCTCCCTCCAACTGGAGAGAGGGGTGAACCAGGCCTAATTTGAGTCTGAAGTTAGGCTCCTATGTCTAAATAAGTAACTTGACTTTCACAAGTGCTGATCATTCTGCAGTTCCTTTTGAGTAAATAATAAAGTTGGATTTTTTGACACCAAGTTTTTTTCTCAATCCTTTAGACCGCATATGTTAGTATGTACATACTTACGGAACACAAATTGAATTTCATCATGTTTACCTCAGATCATTTCTCCATTTCGTCCAGATCATTTTTAATTTTCATTCTATCCTCCAACCCCTCCCAGTTTGGTATCATCCACAAACTTAGAAATTATTCCTCCTCTAAAGGCTGTCTATATAGCCATCACATATTCATGCTGTGTTTTTACAGGCCACCTCCCCATTTGTGCTCCTGAGCCTCCCCATTTGTGCTGCCTAAGCCTGTTTTGCAGATCTTTTATATGAACCAGTTTTTTGTTGAACTGAGGTGTGGCATCATACTGAACAGGAGGATTTGGTTAACAAGTGGCATTTGAGGCTGGATTTGTAGCAAGTTGTTTTGTTTCTCTGCACGCTCACTCCTAGATCTTGATTTTAGAAATGAAAATACTGATACTCATGATGAGTTAGTTTTTTACAATATTTACACAGCCTTAAATTCAAAGGGTCAGATCCTCAGTGCAAAGTGGATGTAGCACTGTACTAAGCAGCTAGAAGCTCCTCTTGCATGAAGGAATTTCTGGTTGCTGTAGCGTACCGTGGTAATATAAGGGGCAGGAAGAGTGTGTTTGGAGCCCCTTGTTTTCTGATGATCTTGAGACAGCAGCAGGGCTGGCCCACAACATTTTGGCATCTGAGGCAGGGAGCTCAAATGATGCCCCCGTGTCCCCTCACTTGAGCCAAAACTTTGAAAGGTCTCAATTCTGCCTTCTTCCTGTTCTACTCCTTTCATGGTACTGCTCCGCTACCTACCCTAATAAAGGAGAACTAACAGCAGCAGACACAGTTTTCTACACTCAGGGTCCTAGTGGCGCCACCCCACAGTCTGGCATCTGAGGCGACCACTTTAGTTTGCCTCATGGTAAGGCCAGCCCTGGACAGCAGGGACCTAGGAAGTATTACTGCAGTCGAATGGCAACATAAGTTAAAACAGTCCTAAGTCTCCCTTGACTTTGAATATGCCTCTGGTTGCCATCAGATTTGGGGAATGCCCTGGTGCTTCAAGTCACTTTGTTCTTTGCATTGATTTTTGTCCTCAGCACAGCTTGATCATACTGGAGGATCTGGCCCCAACTCTGTTTCTACACTTGGAGAGACTGGATAAGAATATTTACCAGCAATATTTAGTAAAGACATTTTACATTTTGGCAAATAATAAGCAAATCTACATGTCCTGAGACAATCCTGGGATCACTATTAGGATGGCTGCCTTTTTTATGGATGATTATGAAAGAAGATTTGTGTAGTTACTAATAGACTGGCAACAGCAAAACCAATACTTTGGATTTTTCCTTTTGTAATTCTGCAGTTATTACTCAAATACAAAGCAGAACATTTTTTATCTTGCTACTCTGAAGAGCTGGTATGTGGAATCAGGAATATCTTGAGGACAGTTTTGGATAATTTCTGACACTTGATGAAACCTGGCTGATGGGACAAGGGGTAAAGATTCATCACAAGAATTTTTAGGAGCTGTAGGAATAAGTCATTTCCAGAAGGGGTGACTCC